CTTTTTAAACGGTAACTGTAACGGAATACAGTTACTCATATTTTGTATTTTAAATACGTAACGGCGGTACATGTATTCCGTTACTCCCCAACACTGTTAATACAAGTGGTAAAATGAAGGCCCGCGTTTATGTGATGTCATCTGTTGAACCAGTAAGACTCCAAGCTGTTGCTTTCTGAACCAGTCGTGATGTCCAGCATCACTGAGACTCTACCAGACCTCACGGGAAGGTTTGTTTATCGTCTGCGTTGTGAAAGGACACAAACAAACAAAAAATAAAAAGGGATCAGAAATCGAACCTTGCGCGGTTTCATCAGCACCACGTGATTTTAGGCTCCAATTTAATGACGTTTACGTTCAAAAATATTGAATGTTTTTTTTCACCTCAGGCAACGTTTGGAAAGTAAGTCTGGTGATCTCTGCGTGGCTTTTAAAACTTTTTTATTTTATTTATTTATTTATTTTGCAATTTATTACTCTTTTAGTCTGAAAATGTTTCCCCTTTCATTGGGTCTATGTGAGGATTCATCCTTTATTAATCTCATAATACGTATCATATTTATAGGGAGAACATGCACATACACACCAACATAAGCATCATCATGACCTAAGGATTATCAGACCATGAAAACAATTACATAAAGTTATTATTTCATTTTGATATACTGAATGACCTTTTTTATATCTGTTTAATAAGGCAAACTTTAGACTTCATAAGGGTCATGTAACATAATCAAATCAAATCAAAATTTATTTATACAAAAAAACAAAACAAATTTACTCTCGTTAATGTGGAATCTCGTTTTCACATCAGCTTTTGATGTCATCTTCACATATATGATTTTTTCACTAATTTAAGTAATTCGTGTGTGTTCTTTTAAAAAAAAAAATGCGCTAGTGGACTTCCACGCATTCAGGGTTGATATCTCAGTAATGAAGCAGTCAGTCATTCATTAACGACTGGTGTGTACATTATTATTTATTGCAGGTATGAGCGATATAACGATGGATGCAGCGCGTGGGAGGAAGAGGAGGAGGAGGAGCGGTGAGACAGGGGGCGTGTCCTCACCGCGGGGAGGCTTTTACAGCCCAATCAGCGTGCATCGCCAGCCATATTGTAACTTTTACTGAAGTCGGTTCAAGTTTTGTGCACCAGCTGTGCGTGGATTTCCTCTAAAGGAGCATCAGGAGCATCAGGAGCTGGAGTACAAGCGGCCCGCAGCAGCATGAACACAGCCCGGTTTGTAGTCACCATGCGCAGAGGAGGTGCGCAGACCTTCCGACGACCTCAGCTCCTCCTGGCTGCTTATTCTCCCACAGTGAGTCTGCCTGCCGAGTTAATTATTGTGTTACCAGCTGTTCGTGTTGCTCTCGTTGCTGCTGCGGCCGTATTTAAAGAATGCTGAGTCACAGTGGGACATCCACGGAGCAGACTGCCGACATTTCCCGATTTCTTTCTTTTTTTTTTCTGTGCAAACAAACAACCTGACGCGCCCTCCTTCAGTCACCTTTAGCCCCGATGCTCTGTGAGAGTCAACCTGCAGGTACAGCACGTGAGGGCTTGGTCCCCCTCACGTGCACGCACAAATATCAGGATGGATGCAGAGCAGTTGTCCCCTTCTCGACGTCTTAGTGTTTCGCATTTTTGTCACACTTAAAGTTTCAGATCAAACACATTTTAATATTAGTCAAAGATAACCCGAG